GCAATGACGGATGTACATTGAGACTAAAGTGGTTTCAGGACTACTCGAAATATGAGAAAATATACATGTGAAAGTCTTCCAATAACCTTTCAAATGTTTGGTATGAGTCCCTTTTGTATCCACCAAGTGTTTGATGTAATACTTGCTAAACATATCTCGGCAGCACTCTGTAAGTTGTGTCGAGTTTTGAATTGAATCCAATGTGTCCCTCGTTACTGCCCAAAGGAGAAGTCATAGGTGGAAATGACAAGATTGGGACTCGTGACATTTTGTACCAAAAAAAAAAAAAGCGTTGTGAAGGAGCATTACATCCTTTTTCAATTGGTCTACATTTGTCATTGTAGAAAATCTGTGTCCTGGTTTCCATATCATTATTTCCTCCATAAACATAAAATTTATCTTGCCATTTCCAACGACTTGTTTGTTTGCTCATAGCACTCAACAAATTCTCTTTATAGTGCTCATCAAATTGCTTTGACAGATGTCGATATATGTTGACATGTGCATAGCATGGGTTGGTTGATGACAACAGGCCCATCAAATGTTTGACGAAATGCCCCAATGACTAAACTGAATTTTTTTTTTTTTTTTTGTGCACTTTGCGCTCGAATTCTATTAAGAAACTAAGGTCTCTAAGGTTATGATCCCAATGTTTGAATATTGGATCCACCATTGGATGCAAGCACACAATTTCTGTCTGAAAAACACAACATATGAAAAGCTTGGCATTCAAACTATATCGTTGTTGAAACTGAATCCCAAACAGAGGCAGCTTTGGGGGAAGTGAAAGGTGCAATCACACAGGACCTCAAATTTGAAGGGCCCCAAAAACTTTTTCCATCTAAACTTATGTGTAATAATGCTATATCTTAAAAAGAATTGTTTTTATTAGCACTTTAAAATCTTATTGTGCATTCATTATAAATGGAAATTTTTTCCTTCCTAAATAAAAAAATTTGGATAGCGTAACGAGATATTTGGAGTGCCAATAATATCACCTTGAAAAATATTTTTTTTTTCAATTTTACTATATAATAATGCTATATGTTGAAGTAAAACTTTAAAATTGTACTTTTTGAAGTTTTTTTTTTTGTTTGGTTGTTTAAGATTGAACTGTTTTTTACTATTTAGTGAAGGTTATGTTTGTATCTCTTTTTATTTATTATTCAATGACATTTGTAAACTTCGAATAGTGAGTTATAAAGTTTGTTTTGATTGAAGTTATTGTTTTCTAGTATCAATACATTGTCACTCTTTTATTTTTGTCAAACGACATATTTTGTTAAATTCGATTAGATGTTAGATTAGTTACTAACGGGATATGAACCATCATCGTCATGCAAGGACCACTTGCATATTGTCATACTTTAGAAGAAAAAAAATCATCTTAAGAATGGATACTTTTATAAATTCGCACAAAGCTCCAAAATCCCAAAACAGCATTGATTTCAAATTCTGTTCTTTTATATTTTGCCCCCTCTCTCGTCTTTGGAGCCAACCCTTATCTTAATGCATCGACATCAAAAACTTTTGGAAGAAAAGGCTGATTAACCAAACTTCGTGTCCTAGATCAATCACAACACTGTCAACTTCATTGCCGCCTAATCCAGCATATGTCGGGCTGTAATTTCAAACCCTAAATGATGTCAACAAAAGCAGCAACACCAACCCTAAAAGATTAATTAAATAATTAATCTCTTAATCCAAATCTTTCAATAAGCATTAAAACAATTTGAGTGCATCTGTGTTCAAATTCTAGCTAGGAACTACTTTGCCCCCATTTGCCTTTCTAACCTAAACTTTTTGACTATCTAGTATCTACGAATCAAAACACCAATTATGCTCTAATTCTGGTCAATCGGTCAGCCCTTTGGTTTGCCTATAGCTTATACATTTTATACCGCGCACGCTTGGGTAGGCATGCATTGCCATCACGGTCGTCAGTCGTCACCAAGTATTTACTTGTTAATGCAGCATCAAGCGTCATCTATATCTCTTACTGTACTTTTTTCTATTATTTGTTTCCCCATAGAGGATAAGTCTTATATATATGTAATTGTATTCAAGCTGTCATCAACATTGTATTTCATCTGGAGGACTTGTTGAACTCATTTTTTTAATTTTGTTGATTGTAATTGATCAAGTGCCCTTCAACATCAAGCGCTATCAATGATAGTTACCATTTCATTCAAATTATATTACATGTTACTCATATATTATTAATTGATGATGTCATTAATGTCAAGCACTAACTTTGTCTAATTAAATGGGATCGGTTTGGAGATTAGAGCTCTTTAGATTACGAGAGAGTGAAATCTCGCTTCAATATTTGCCCAGATCATCACTCAATGCTTGTGATTTAACATATATCTAATTTTTAAAACGTTAAATAGTTCTTTGAAATGTTTTAAAAAGGTTACGACTATAATTTGAAACTACCCCTAAAAGTTTGGGTAGTTATCTGTACTTAACCTTAAAGAAAATTAGATGGAATTATAGAAATTTGAGACGGCATGTTTTAGTGTTTTGAACTATGAACATATGGTAATTTACATTATAGTAAGTTACCTAAATTTTAGTTTTCGTACTTATATTTTTTTTTTGTCTCACTTTTGTAACCACACATTGATTTCTATCACTTTCATACATCTACTAACCTGATCGTTGACTGATGGTATAACAAGACTTTGATCCATTAACTCATCCTCTATTGTGATAAGCTGAGAATAAAATGAGCTCGCAAAGAATTAATGTGAAGTTAGTGTCCGCTGAGAAGGACTTACCTGGAACGAATGGGCTAAGCCATTAACGGATTAGAGTGGTTTCGGATCTATCATGACCATTGTATAAGAAATTTCTAGAAGCTTCAAGCCTACAATTGTAGAACCGTGAGACATCAGAAAGAAGATGAATTGTCCTCATGAAGAATTTGAGTCAAACGATGTCGTGTCTTATATTTTTCTAACAGTTTTGTTTGTTTTGTCATGTGGTTTAGTAAAACTCAGGGATGGAGTTTTAATATCGACTTTAATGTTATTTCAAGTATTTTGGTTCATTAACATGTAAGCCCCGTGAAAGTATACCAGTATACAGAGGCAGATTCGCTCAAGGACCCGGGATCACCCGGAAGGTCGAAGAAGCGTCTGTGAGGATCTTTGAGGACCACCCAACGTCTGGGCAAGTGGTGAAAGACAGAAGATCACCATGGCTGTGTAGATGTCGTGCAACAGAAGCTTTGGAAATATCTAATTTTAGACAAAAAGGAACACAGAGAAGACTATCATGGCTCTACTGTTCTTGGATCTTGGTTCCCACGATTAAGAAAGACTTTCTCTCTCCATTTCCCATGTGACCAACTCCCCATTTTTCTTTTTCTTTTCCTTTTTAATTGTTGTCCAGTCAGGTTGTGTCACCTAACATTTTAATTAATAAAACTCTTTATACCACATGTTTGACACCGTTATTTCTTTTAAAATTCACTATCAATTCATACGACTTCTGAAAAGTATTTCATATAGTGTTAGGCTTGCCACCTGACCAACGCAAATCGTACCTTGATTAGGATCACCTAATGTTAAATTCTAGATATAAGTTATTGTCGTTTATGGTGCCTCAGTGTTCCAATAAATTTGGCAGAATCTCATTAACACATTGTCTTAGCTTAATATGGCGCTTCATCATCAACTGCAAAGGTCCAAAAATTTAATGGTTGTCATATTTCCTTTTCATCGCTGTTAAGCATATATGGAAATTATTGTCTCCACGGAGTAATTATTGTTAATAAGTTTAAAAATAACTTACAAACAGTTGACTTCACATATTGACGTTGAGTGGCATGGCTGATTTGCTAGGGGAAGATGGAAAGGTGTTCACTTGAATTGGTTGGAGCTTTCAGTTGTTATATTGTGTTTGCTATCAATTTTCTGCTGTTTGGTTTTCGTGTTTCAAAATTTTTTCCTTGGTGGTGGCTCTCTGATCGGTTTATGTTGCAATCATTCTAGTTTCAGATTTCATGGTTTCCACTGCGCATAATATGATGATTTGTGCTGTCAAGTTTAATTTATTTCAGTAAATTTGCCTTCCAATAGTTTTAAGTGGTCAAGTTTTCATTTCATTTTTTTTTTTTTTTTTTTGGATTGATTTTCTTCTTCTAAGGGCTGGGTTCATATAGGGTTTTGGGGTGATTGAAATGTTAATTTTTTCATCCACTATTATTTTTAAAATAATTTTAATATGCTATTTTTTCATCATTATTATTTTAAAATAAAAATAAAATGCTATTCCCCAATAATGAAGTATCATCCGACGGTAATTTATCTGTAATGCAATGGTCCTCCAAATATTCTGCTAATGTATGATTGAACACTCCAATAACTATAATTAATATTCAATCATCATCAGTTGCTAGCTTCTTACCCTTTAACTGGAAAGGGCATCCACACTTTATGGTTCTAGAATTCCTTCTATCTTCATCTTTATGTCTTTTTGGCGAATTCGGCTTACATATTGTTCATTCCTTTCACAACCCATTGTCACTACAAAAAAAATGAGCACTGCACACAAAAAATTATATGTGCCTTTTGAGGCCAAAAAGCACCAACATTTGTGCTCATAGACCAATAGCAACAGTGCAGCAACTAAGTTTGTATCTGTGCCCTCTATGGGCGTCACCATTACTTATAGCACACAATATGATGTTTTGTGCCCAAAGCTAAGCACAAATACAACCCTTATTGTGTCTTACCTCTAATAAAGGCTACTGAATGTATGGTGTAAGATGGGCACAATTGCTATTTTAAAGGCTCAGATTGCTGTATAAATGTTAAAGCAAGGGCACAACTTTAAAATTGTGCCACTATTATATTTTAATAAATACAATAAAACTCCAGCACAATTAAAATTTTGTGGCATAATTGGATATTTTTATTTAAACATGGAAATCATCAGATTGCTCATAGAACCTAATTTCCACCTAAATTTAGAAACTTACAAATCATCCATTACAAACTAAACATAAATCAACATTAGCACTAAAATAGTGAAGTTAATATATTACATAACCCATGTTCTCGGCTAAGACCGATTCATGCAACCTAACAATACAACCCATCCAAATGTTAAACCAAAAAATACATGTTATCCTATGCTGGACATACCCGGGATTCTCTATATACAACAAAATATAACATATACAAGCTTGTATCCCCAAGTCAAACGTACTAATGGTTAAACTAGCAATATATAAACAAAATACACATCTACAAGGGCTGCTTGATGACAACTAACCAGTATTCTCACTTTGGCAGTCCTCATGCATCATAGCACTGGAAATTGGAGGTCCACACTGCACATTCTTCTCATTTCCACCTTCGAAACGCGTTGAAATCTGAGCGTGTGAGCTTCCACACCCTTGCTGCTGATATATATATCTTCCTTCATTTTCCTTGTACCCAAGAAAAGAAAAACAATTTAGTGCCAAACTTAAAAAAAAAACCTGTAAAATCCACAGCAAGAATTCTTGAATACATATATTTTCAAACATATTTAGGCAAACACAAAATTCAAAACTAAATTTGTAGTAAAAAAAACATTTAAAGGCAAATCACATTGATAATATCAACCCAAATCAGTAAATAAGAGTAATATTGGGAAATATTGACCAGTACCTTAGACAAAAGGCCGTTTTCAATAATCGTGTGGTTGTTTGTAAACCCTTTGATGGCCACACAGAGTATCAAGAGTGATGTGATGACAAAGCCAAAATTTCCTACAAAGATAAAAAGAAATGAACAAAAATTAGTCAACTTTGATATGAGCAGAGGGAAAAAAAACAAAAAAAACAAAAAAAAAACTCAAAATTCAAGGAAATGGAAGGAGAAAATCACAAATTACATAAGCAAAATTAATAAAACAATAAATAAAATAAGACACCAACATCCGCAAACATAAAAATAATGGGTAAAAGCAAGGAAATCCATCTGTTAAGGAGTTTTTTTTTGCTTTGAACCTTGACAACTGGATCTCCTGAACAGTAAGGTGATGAGCACAATGATCCCGGAAAAAATTGAGGCCATGCTTCATAAAATTGATCCAAAGTGTTATGAATGTTTTGAAGGGTGCAAGCACAACCGGAATTAGCAACACCAAGACAAAATTAAGAGGATGTCGTCACAACAAAGACTGAATCGATGATGGCTTCTATGGTTTGATAGGTATGCAAACAGTCGGAATCCATGAGGTACGAAAGAGGAATAGCGAGACAGAGCAAGTTCAACAACAATAGAAAAGAAATCTGTTAAACCAGCGGAAACAAATGGAAAACTGCAGAACATACAACTAAAATAGAGGGTGGGTCGATGGTGAACATGTAGATGGAAAGGGTAGAACAGTCAGTGGACTGTACAAAGAAGGAAACAGCGGGGAAAACAGAGGAAAATCTGAGGAACAAAAATGCCCACACAGTGGATGTCCACAGTAATATCATTCCACATAATGTAAATCCTATAAGAAAAAAAAAAATTGAAAGGCCATCTTTGAGTATGATCGACAAAACCACAACAAACATAGGTAGTTATGGAAATATCACACCACATGATTTGTATTAATTTATGATAACCATGGTCTGTAATGTAGTGGAAATATCCTACATGATTAGTGATAAACTAATTTGAAACAGGTTTTGCTTCCCAATAGCCATTTTTAGAAGCTATCCCAATTTTCTTAAGAAGCAAAGTTTTTTGCCCGCTTGAGTGCTCATAAATCACCAATGCCATTAATTAATTATTGAAAGCATGAACATCCCAATATGAATCTGAATGAACAAACCGTTGACAAAATTTACACATTAAAAAGAGTAGGCAAACAAAGAATAATGACACCTACACTTACCAATTTACACATAAATTCCAATTTTGAATCATTTAGGCTTCCAAAAAATTGCACAAAAATGCTAAAGAAAATGAACAAACTGAAATAAAGCAACATGTACACGCGAAGACTCACCCCAAATTGCTATGAAGGTCTGCTGCACACGCGAGAACACGTTCACAAAGCCTTTCAAAGGCTGATATCCAACTTTCAAATATGAAGATTTTAACCCACAATTGTTCTTTCTTAGCTTTAGCCACTTCAGCTACATAACCTGAAAATAATAATAATAATAATAATAATTAATTACAGTTAATTAATCTGGGTTAAAATTAATAAAAAAGCTGGGAAATTTCAGATCTAAAATCACACCTCAGGCTGCAAGTAGAATCAAAACCATGGAATTTCAAAACCACTCACCTTAAACACAAAGGTCTTCGCAGGCTTCAAATGTAATTTCTGTAGAACAAAAAAACCAAAAAAAAAAAAAAAAAAAAAAACTTGGAAATCTAATAAAAATGAAGAACAAATATTACAAATCAGATAACCAAAATCACTAAAAACAAAAAAAATCAACATGCATGAAACGGAAAACTAATCTGTAAAAGCGAAGAAATCCATTTGCAAATATGCTTTTTGGTTTCGAACCTGGAAAGTTTGGTATTTTGACCAGCATACCGAGGAATCGAAACATACAAAGCAAAACCCAAAAATTAATCATCAGTATTCCTCTTTTTTTTTCTTTTTTTCTTTTTTTTTAAAGTTTGAGGGAAAAATCAAAGCACAAACAAAAAAAAAATAACACCAAAGAGATAAATTATATACCTGACCCAGAAAAAGCTAGGAAGAATAAAACCCTAAAACTTGAAGAACAATGTTTCCTGCAACCAAAATGCAAAATCAGAGATAACAACCAGACGTAGAGCGCGAAAAAACAAAGAAAACGCTGGGCAAAAAAGCTGAATAGCCCATATTCACAACAATCAATCATAAAATTTTCTTCCTAACCAAACAGAAAATAAACCAACACATGAATCAACATACCTGAACGGGAGCGATGCGTTTGTGCAAAACAGGGGAAAAAACGCCAAACACCTTCGAGAAGATCCGATTGGAACCGAAATCAAAAGGCAGACGGGAAAACTAAAGAGAAACGGAACGACTGAGAGAAAAACGAAGAGGAAAAGAAAAAGTAGAAGATGCTTCTGGCATCTTTCCTATAAAACATAACGTGGCCAAATAAGAAAAGAAAGGGGCAAAATAGACCATTTACTGCACAATCCCACCAAAGTACAAAAACCATGAATTAAATGAGGGGTAAAACCGGGTCGGCACTGTTAATGAACAGTGCCAAAAGGGGTAAAGTTGAAATAAAAGAAGAATGTGCGAGGACAAAATGGGAAATCCACTGGTCATCCACAGTGACCAACCCTTACGGGTTTTAGTATATATGATAATGTCTCATAACCTTTGTTGCCACGCTGTGAATTCACTGAATTCTGCGGTATGAAGCGGACGAGAAACATAATTATAACCTAAAAAAATATATACTAGGAGTAAATCTACAAGGGCTAATTAGAAAGAAAACATTATTATATTGGAATACGACATAAGTTGATAAAAGGACCCAAGAGGAGTCCAGCATAGCATAAGATAGTTATATTTTCATAGTACACCAGTGAAATATAACATAATACAAAATATATTAATTGTCCTCGTCATCGCTGCTTAAAATCTCAACGGTAACATTCTGCATATTTCGTGAGCTCAACTGTGGGACAGACAGACCTCTAGGACGAATTTGTGCTTGATAAGTGCGTGGTTCTTCAATAATAACGACAGAATTGGTAGACTGTTCAGTTGTTGTTTCAGCAGAAACCAAATTGACAGGATATTGTTCTGTCCTACCTGGGTTTGCCCATGCTGGCAATACACGTCCTTGAGGTGCGCGTACGCATCCGTTATTGAAGGGTAATGCGTAGCCAAGGCGACCATCAACAAAAGTAGTAAGAATGTACTGATTATTAAAAGGACGAGGCATGCGCCCGGCATTAACAGGTTGTCGTGGACGTTGAACTGGAGGATTCGTTGTGGAATTTTCTGTTGTAATGTTGGAAGCAATATACGAATGTGATGCTGGAGATTCAGTTCCAATTCTAACTCCACGACGTCGCCTGTCCGCCATTGTCAATGATGTAGAACTTGCTCAAATTCAAAAGAAACATATGTGTATGAAGCAACCTTCTTAATTTCCATATACAAATTAGTAAGGGAGTGTGTGGACGTTTTATAGTAGAATAAAGGCACAAATCCATAATTGTGCCAACATATTCTTTTGCTATAGAGTATTTATTATTTATTAATATTTACTGGACACAATTTCTAACATTTGTGTCAGAAAAGAGGAATTTATAATTATTAAAATATATTCTCTATTTGAAGACCCAATGAGAAGTAGAGTGATTTATTATTTATTAATATTTAGTGGACACAATTTCTATCATTAGTGTCATAAAAATGAATCTACAATTATTAACTCATTTGTCTATCTGAAGACCAACTAACTTTTGCACAGAGACCAACCCTAAGGGCACAATTGTTGGTTATGTGTCACTGCAGGTAGGACTTTAAAACCAAAAACCATATCACCAAGTATAAAAAACAAACCTGCAAGAAGATAACAATCCAAAAAGCAATTCAAAAAGATACGAATCTAACAAACATTCATTGCACCTGGAAATGATCCTTTGTAAATCTAAAACATGCCACTTAGTACTATGGTGTAGTGGTATTCTTCTTTACTTGTAAGTGAGAGATCTGAGGTTCAGCTTTCGGGAAAAACAAATTTGAACAACATTATTGCTAACTTATTTTGAGGCTAAAATATTGCACGGTAATAAACAGCTTCATACCATTATTTACCACAATTTTATAAATTTTAATTATTGGTGTGCTAGTGGAGGTAAAGACAAACGAGAGAGAACATATAGTGCCTTTGACAAATAATTTTTATAGACACAAAATATTTTTTGTGCCCATTTTCAGTAAAAAAGTTGTCATGTGATCCCACTCGACACGATTTCCGTGCCCATTACTGTTTTGTGTCTGCTTTTTTTAACATTGGGCACAATAGATGGTGCCCTCTATGGAATGGGAATTGTTTAAGCTTTTTGGTGGTCAAACTGACACAAAATTCTCAATTGTGCCCTTTATTTTGTACCCAAAGCTCATTTTTCTTGTAGTGTGTAAGTCTAGGGCTCATGTTACCTTTTCGCGCCTAACTACTATTATTATTATATATCTTTTAAGGTCTTTATTAACCATTCTACAAATGGACAAATTGTAATGAAAATTTTCATTAAAAAGTTGGTAGGGAGATAAGACACTGAGTGGGAATAACCATTCTAAAACTCTCCTTATCAAAGCTAACTATTAACAAAATTCTATTTGTTGATAGAAAAAAGGTGACATGACCAAATTAACCATGTCAACAAGACTAAAAAAAAACCAAAATAAAAGTTATTGGCAATATAGTAAATTAAACACAAAATATTTTTACTTTTTTCCTTCAAAGCCTCACAGCCAAGTGCTAAGGTCCAAAAATGTCACGGGCAAGCCCAACCAAGTCTCAAGGCCCAATTGTCATGTAAGCTTTAAGTCAAGCCTAAATATATGCAAAGGTGCGGGATCAAGAAATGAATATATTCACAACCATGCCACGCTACGGGAATTAAGTCAGATGTTTATATAAATTACGCCATGCCCATGCATATTCGTCACACTAAGCTTTGTCATGCTAATCGCTATTCACGCTAAAATAAGCCCAAGTCACATGCTCGAGCCTGAAGTGAATTATGGTGTGGATGATTACAAAAGTTTACTGGGCTTATGTGGAGCCAAGATTATGGAAGACTTTGGGCTGCTTGGGGCCCAAAGATCCAAGCCCATAACTTTTGAGATCCACGTAGGTAAGCTTGGGAGAGAACCAAAACTTAGTTTTCCCTTTTCCCTAAGGAGTTAACCAACTTAGTTAGAGAGAAACCAAATCCCCTAACCTTGTAATCACGTGAATGCATAGGGAGAAAAAGGAGAAAGAAACCAAGCCACAATTAGAGATTCTTTGGGAATTAATCATTCAACTACAAATATAAGCCATGAGCTAGAGAAAGGATCCATCATAACAGAGAGCCTAAAAAATCCCAAGAGGCATCACTCTACAATTTTAGTATTTTCCATAACCTCCCTCTGAGTATTCCAGTCATCAAAAACCTTATTACCACCCTAGGAAACCCAGATTATCCAACCTAGAACACCATACAACCATGCAAACTCTCTCCCTTTCATGCTAATAGCTTCCACACCACCGCTTCTCTTGGTCAAATCATTATTTGCCTAATCATGCTACATTCGAGTCATTAATCTAATTGGGATATTTCTTAAGACATGCTAATTCTTTCGAGATATTCCGGGGTTTGGTACGAAACTGAACCAATGGAGACAAGAGAATGTTTCCCAATTCCACCTTGACCTAAAAGTACCCAACACCAGGTAACCATATCAGTTGCCCTCATTACCTCTTCCATGTTTCTCTTCCAAATAAAATAAACTTTTACTCGAAATATTTATCCAGAAACAGTCGCTAAAGATATGAACTGGCTCTTCAGTGATGAAAAATCATTTGAAGGTCGTCACCCAAAAGTTTTAGCAACCATTTTATATTTTCTCTTGTTGTAAATTTTATTTTTAAAATGTTAATAAGCACATCAATAGCATGTGTACAATTGCTAGTAATAATAAAACTAAGGCCTAATTAAATAAATAGTTCTCGTGACAATAGGATAGTTGGAAGGTAGCCCTCTTGATAAAAACATTAACACTTAAACCTTATGATGAAATCTGTTAGAATTTAATCACAAAAGCAAAATTTCCGTTAACTCTTTGTTAACCCCTTTTGCCATGGCTCCACACTCAACAACCAAACTTCCTCCGCCGCCACTGTCAATTTCGAAGGGGCCGACCATAGCTTAGAATCAACTTGTTGCCTCCATGTTTTCCACTTGGGATGCTAACGGTTGGAGAGAAACACAAGAAAAAATAGTTCAAATCTTTGTACATCTCTACCATATATCCTTGCTCTGAAATTGTAACTTTTATTGATGGAAAAAAAAAAAACACAGAAAAAGTCAGATGGATGAGCAAAAATGGAGCCGAGCTCTCTCGATTTTACTAAACAACCAGATTTATTGTAGATTATTTTAATATATTATTTTTAGTTGCAGTTGTGAATTTTTGAGTCGGAGATTTTTTAGGTTCTACTAATAAAGAAAAGATCTGGATTCAATTCATCCATTTATCAAATCAAGTCATTTGTTTAATATAGAAAAAAGGACAAATTTATTAAATCAGTGTTCGAAGACTTTGATTTACTGTTGCTCTCGTATAGGATCATTGGAATTCAAGCTTGTTCTTGGTTATATTGTGCTAAGCATGTTTCTGGAACGACGTGATGATAGACTTGTTGAAGAGGTTGCACTATCTAACCCCTCTTACTTAAAAAAAGAAATAAAGAAGGAAAGCTTAATTGAGAAACTAATGAATATTTAGATGTTGGACTTAATTTCTAATAGATGTCATCATATGAGTTTAAATCCGAATTTTTTTACCATATGAGCTATTTTTCGAATACTTTATCATCACAAGAACCATTTATCTAACTAGGCTTAAATTAATATAGTCCCAACATTATAACGATATACAGGTTTTCTTGCAACATACTGAAAATGTCTCTGCTTTCAAAAAAAAAAAAGAAAAAGAAAAAACCCAATGCTTATCAGGCCGTCGAAATGTCAGCAAAAACAGCCCAGTCCATTTCCATAATAAATAAAAACATGATTTGAGCCCACTAGAAGCCCATCCCATCCCTCTAGGGTTCTTCGTATTTTTGTTTCTATGAATTAACCATTACGACCAAAAACAACAAAAACAAAAAGAGAGGCTTCAGCTGCTGATTTCTGTATCGACGCCGCGGCATTCACCACGGTATCTTTTTCTTCATCTTCTTCTCGCGTACACTCACGGATTATTGTGCAACATAGTTCTCTTGATTTTTATTTAGCTTAAAAGAACTTGAGTGATCTCGTTTTTTGGTTTAAGTTTATGGGTTTAATTTGGTTTCGTGGATGGTTTAGGGCATTGGTATTTACTTGTCATAAGAACACAGTTATTTTAATTTTTTAGTGATTTTGTTTGTATGCTCATAATGTGAACTGGCCTTATCAGATTGCAAAGTTCTATTATGTTTGTAGTTTATTTCTTTTGCTGATTACTTTAGCTGGGTTTTCCTTAAATTGCATGATCTGTTATCTTTATTTCTTCTGCTGAATGCTGATTATTCTAACTGGATTTTCATCTGATTTTTTTTTTATCAATTTTTAATTTTAATTTTCTGCTTGATTTGTTTTATATGAAATCGTACTGTTGCTGGGTTTTATCATGGCAAATGAAAAGTTCTTAAGTAGTGGTTTGGTTGTATAGTGTGTGTGTGGTGGGAGGGAGAGGGAGAGGGAGACCCATAGTATTCTTTGTGCTGGTTTGATTATTTCAGTTGGACATCCGTTCACAACTGTTATTTGGTGCTCGCTATTTACCTCAATTTTGATCACTTTGCAGATGAAGAAAAAAAGAGGAAGTCATATCAGTGATTCCAATCCAATTCTCAATTTGAAGTCTATTATCCATCAGCATTCTCAATTCTTCGACATGTTAGTTGAGCTCATCCCTGCTAGGTTCTATCTACCCGTTGACAATGATGACAAGCCATGGTTTCAAGGTCTCAGCAAGACTGCAAAAGCTTCAGCAAAGAAGGAATCAAAGGAAAACATTAAGAAAGCTCGAAGAGAACGGTTGGATCCAGAGAAGTCTTCTAAGACAACCCTTGATTTGCTAAAGCAAAGTTTGGAAAAGAAGTCAAACGATGAGAGTGATAGTGACGAAATAGAGATCAAGCCTGTGGTGCCTGGCCTGGAAGATGATGAATGTTCAGTGGAAGATGACGAACGTTCAGTGACATATGAAGAACTCCAGCACCGGCTTCATCGTAAACTTGATGAGTTTCGGGCTGGTCGGCATTGTGAAGGTTCAGAGAGAGCAAGGAAGAGGATTGAGCGAAAGGAAAGATATGAGAAGAAAGGAACTGACCAGAAGAAACGGAAGAGAGAAGCCTTATCTGATGGTAAGAAATCTACTAGTGATTATTCAGCGGCTAAAGTGGAGAAGGATGTTGCAGAGGCTGCAAAGGAGCTGACATTCGGTTATGTCAAACTTGGGGATGAAGATGAGCTTGGTAAGACAAATAAGAAGAAAAAATTGTCAAAGTTGCAGGAGCTTGAGAGGGCAAAACAGTTGCAAGAAGCCAAGAAAGATCCAGAAAAAGGTGAGATAATCTCGCAGAAGCATTCTTGGAAAGCAGCAACAAGTAGAGCTGCTGGGATCAAGGTTCACGATGATCCAAAGTTGTTGAAACAAAGCATTCAGAAGGAGAAGAAGCGGCATGAGAAGAATGCCGAGAAATGGAAGGGAAGGGTTGAAACCACAGAGAAGATGAAAGCAGATAAACAGAAGAAGAGATCAGATAACATATCGCAGAAGAAGCAAGAGAAGATAAACCGGAAAATAGCGAAAAGAGAGAAAAAGCTCATGCGGCCAGGGTTTGAAGGTCGCAAGGAAGGTTTTATCACCGAAGGTTAAGCTTGGAATTGCGTCGTTGTCAGCATATTTTCGAAAGAATTAGTCTAAACATCATGTAAAAGTCCAGGGGAAGTTGATTTGATGGGTTTCCCTTATCCTTCTCCTTGAGTTCTGATTTCCTTGTATTTGTCATTTGTACTTTGAAATAGTTGCTGCTTAAGAGCTGATTCTTAATAGATGAATGTGATTCAAGCATGGCAGTGTTGCTGAGTTTTAGCTAATTTTTCTTGCAAACAGATCTTTATTTATTAGGAGTTTTAACGAAAAATCCGCGATACTGTTCAATTTTAATGAAAAACTACATTTTTAAACTAAAAAGTCAAATCTGGTACTATTCATTTTACCATTTATTTTGTCTTTATCATTAAAACTCAAAGTTTTCAAGTCATTTTTATTAGTTTTCCTTTACTTTTTTTAATTCGTATTTACAGCAAGTGTGGGTGAATAAATTGGTTTGGAATTCGTTATCCACGAAATTTGATTTTACTTACTAGTGTAGAAGAATTTGATATATTGTTGCTTGAGCTTCTTGTACTCTTTTTGATTCTATATTACCACATTTTGGTTGAAGGAAAGGGATATAATTGTTCTGTTTCTGGGCTTAATCAAGTTTTTGAATGCTTGCTAATACTCGATTACCATTAACAACAAATTTAGAGGTATTCCAATTGATGTCTGCTAAGATAATGAATTCAACATCGGAATATTTAAGGTACCTGGTTTTTGGAAGTTTACAACAAGGCAACCATGATAGCTTTCTTCTGAAAAAAACCTAGGCGTTTGTTTGCCCTCACTAAGTTGGACTGGACTGGACTGGACTAGCTATTAGACCAATACTGTGTTTGTTCCATGCTGGGACTAACATTAATGAGACTAAAGGGGATTAGCATGGACAAAACCCTTCACTAAGAGGTCTTAGCGAGACCCCTCAATAACCATGGGACTAGCTAAGACTATCCATCTTTCTCGTCCTCGTCATGCTCAACGACCACTCTCGATAGACTCCTCGTCATCTCCGATCACCTAGATCAATCATTAACTTTCTAACTCTCTTTCAGATCCATTTCACAACCAACTTTCATACAAAATATACCAAATTGAAGCTGGGAGTGACAAGATTACAATTTTACTTGAATCGAGGCCAAAATGTGGTCGAATGTGGCTGGAAAATGGCCTGGAAGTCTCGGCCTGTTTGGGCTTCTTCAAATCCATGATAGTTCGAGCATTCAAAACTAAGATCTCGGTCCAGAGATGGTGATGAATTTTTTGGCGGTGCTAACTTCATCCAATTTAACGAGGAAATGGTAGAAAAAAACGAAGAAAAAGATAAGATCATAATAAAATATTAATAATTTATATATTAAATAATATAATATTATAATTTGTTATTATCCAGCTTCTTAGTCCAATACTGCACCAAACGCTTCACTAAGTTAGTCCAGTTTAGTCTAATCTAAGCCAGTCCAGCTTAGTCCTTGAAGCTAATCCAGTCCGAAATAGTCCGGCGCAACAAACGCCCCCTAGAGTGTTGTAAAAGTTTAGTAGCTCGGCTCACCCACACCCATCCCAATTAAGTTTAGTCTGCCATTTTACTCACTCGAATTTGTAGGCAACAAGACTTCGGAGGTTAATTTGTTAACTCAATTAATAAAATCATCGCTTATAAAACACCTGATTATAATGTTGACTTCTTAGTCTTTCTCCTCTTTTACCACTTGAAATTTTTCCTTCGATTTTTTTTTTTGTTGAATTTATGTTGCCAATAAAACACTCCCTACTTCATTTTTGACCTCACCCTCTCTCTTTTGGTCATGTGACAAGTGATGAGAGATGAGATAAACACAAGTCCAAAATAAAAAACAAAATCGTAATTAATTTAATTTAGATAATGTTAAAGATATCAAAATTTTTTGATCGATTTTGCAAAACTGAATAATGTAATTATTAATTAAGTATTGATTAAAATCCTTATTTTCGGGTGATGAAACATTATTTAGTTTCCAAAGTTGGTTTAAAATTTTAGCCTCCTAGCATTTCCTATTTAATTTTACTTCCTCATTACCTAGCTAGGAACCGAATGGGAATTCGCATTCAAAAACACCAACACACACCGATTTATATCAAAGAGGATGCTAAGCATGCATTAACTAAAACCATGCATACATTTACATATGATGTACACAGGCATAATGCTGAATATTGAACTAATTCCCACATTACATGTCCGTGCAAACATGCACACGACCCCACACTTGGTCACCGATTACTCCCTACCTATACAACCCAAAAAAACCACAAAATAAAACACTTAAAATTCCACATTAAATTATGAAGTACAAAACCTTCCCAGAAACGGAAAGGAAACAACAAGAGACAGTTCACTCCCTTCGAATGTGCTATGCTATCCCTATGCCTTAAACAACCCTAGAAGCAGGGACTCCTCCAGTGGTGCCCTTGTGTATCGGATCCCCGCCAGTAACTGGGTAGTCGGTGTCACGGTAGCCCGGGCCGTACTTGCTGCTGAAGACGCCCGCATGAAGCATCAAGAGGTACAAGAGCTGAGTGAACATCAGGATTATTACGAAAGCCTCCAAGACCCTCAGTCTCCATCCTCTGTGTCCTCCCATGTTTATTTCCTTGCATGCCAACCTGTTAACAAGCAACTCAATTAATCATCCGACTAATTAACCACACGATAAGTCTATTAAACGACATTAAGCGTGCTTCAGTGCTATGTGATCCAATCAGGGTTTGAGATTTACCCAAAGGCCAGTGCAGTGAGAGCCCACGCGACGATGGCGGATGATCCTGCTGCAGCTAAGCTATCACTCCTCCAAGACCTGATGTGGTTTGCTCCGGCCAGCTTTGACGCTATGCCCATCACTCCAGCCAACATGGAGAATATCAAAAAGAACATTGTCGCACCATTTCCTCCAAAACCTGCCCAAATATTCACACCGAGTTTAATTCCAAAAACTCGAAAAACGAATTTAGTTTGGGAGTTTTTGTTTTTGGCGAGATGATTTTCGAGGCTACTCTGAAAACAAATCTAATCTACAAGAAGGGTATTAGTTCAGAGACAACTGGTCGAACCCCGGTCTGCGGTAACTAGGAGCTAAAGCCACCATTAAGCAAGAAATACCACAAAGCAAAGAGGCAGTTGATGAAAAAACTTACTAGGGTGGTTGGTCTGGCCATTGATGAACCTGTTGAGACACCAACTAGCAAAACCGACAACGATCAAATACATGATCAAGTTGAGAAACAGCAACGGAGCTGCCACGTTCCTTCCCACAGTCTGAGCCATCTCTCCCTCAAATTCCACACACACAGAAAAACCAGCAACAGATCAAACAGCTCTCTCGGTATTTCTTACAAAATATCACCGAGTGCACACACTAAGTTAACGAAGTTGTTTTGGTAACAGCAAAGAGGTTGGCTTGGCTCTTTATAGACGAGGCAGCCGACGTCAAAGGTGTTTTGACAGGCATGCGATACGTGTAAAGCAGTCAGATTTGCATGTCCATCATTGGTTTACAGGTGGCGCGACACGTGTCTTGATTTGCTCATTCTACTGCCGAAGAAACGCTTTCCCTTTGGCTGAGTTTCAAACTTTAAACAAACGGTGCGTTATCCACAACACCAGAAATGTCTAACACACATCTCAGCTACACTGCATAGCCATGTCCAACACCCCTGTGGGCCCACGCATCAGCGGTGGAGATCATGATAACCATGAATCGACGGTTGTGATGCTGAGGATTTCAAATTAAAGCCGTTTGGGTCTGGGGTACTTTTAAGATCCTCATACTTCTCTGATCATCATAAAAACTTGATGTATATAGCTTAGAACTTCTAGTATGTAAATATCTGGCCATTAATAGTGGAAAAAAGTTTAACAGATCGGGTAGATCTTTCATTTTCTAGAATGATTCTTGTTTCGTTCTAGGGACTAGAAGATCTTTATTAAGTGGCTATCATTACTCAAACTGTAATGCTGAATAGTTTAAATTTTTTAAATCAAATTTACAAATTAAATGATATAATTGTAGACGGTTGGTTTATTAATTAAATAGTGATTAACGTGTTCGTTTATTATTGATGACACATTATTCAGTTTGCAATTTTAGTTTAAAGAATTTGATCTCTTTAACATTATTCTTACTTAAATTTCTAAAGAATTAAAAGACTAGCATTATCCTTACTCAAATTCCTGAGGAATTAAAAGACTTGATTTTATGAGAAATTTATAATCATTCAATTCCAAAAATGAAATACGATAATATTTAGGTACTTATTAGTGCGTACTGTACTCACTTTTTAATTTGATCCAATAAAAATGTTATGTATTTCTTTCTTTTAAAGTCTAAAATATTAAATAGCAAATTCGTTCTTTTTTAAATAATAAACCATGGATTAAAATACATTGAACAAATTAAAAGGTCCATGCTCACTAATGAGTGTTCCAAGTGTTATCCCATCAAATATGTTGGAACAAAATTCTAAGATGTTGGACCTTCTGGTGCATTGAGTACTCTAGTGTCTTCGAATTAGTGGATTTGGATTTTATATGATTTAGAAAAGGAGGGAAATAGCAGTGGTGGTGGCTGGTGAGGTGGGAAGGGGATATCTATTGGTAGGTCTGGTAAATGGGTTGTGTCTGTCGTGTTCGTGTCGTTTTCATGTAACATCTGTTATCTTAACGGATCGTGTCGTGCCACACCCGTTATCTTAACGGGTCCTTAACAGATCAAGTCACTTTACCCAATGGGTAAAGTGACCTGACTCGTTATAACCCATTAAAAAAAATATCTATTTTTTCTTAAATTTGCACATACCACACATTGCCACATAAATATTACTTCAAAATATTAAAATACATTTGTCGTTTAAGTACTACATCTACACTAAAAAATAAGAGTCTAATAAACAAACATATATACACTAATAGTCTATTACAAAATATTAAATGTGCAAAGATATGCAAAATGAAAGAGTTTTTGTTTTCAAGGTTGTGAAGCCTATCTCAAAAGTTTAAACCTTGTCAATAGAACTCTAAGCTTGCATGTTATTCCTTTTACAAAATCCTCAATTTACATCGATCATCATGACATAAGATTTTGTGGTATCCACTTGTGTAAATATTTTAAATTGACGATCAAATTAGTTCATTGTATCCATATAGGATCAAAGAGTGTAATTGTAAAAAATCATCAAAATCAGAGTTAAAATAACCGTTACATCGTGATTTTTCATTTATAACCGTCGAAAAGTTTTGTCACATTACTTGATCTCTGCATGTTTGTTTTTTGCAATTGTTGGTGTATGCGATCTCGAAGTATATACGAACATGTTTGATAGTTGGATCGTTGAAACTAGTTTCGTAGAATGCGTATCCCATCAAAACAATAGATTCACTAGCACTTAAGAGTTTATTCATACTTTCATTAAGTATAACATAAGATTTTGAGGTATCCACTAGTGTAAATATTTTAAATTGAAGATCGAGTTCATTCATTGTATTCATATAGGGTCAAGGAGTGTAGTTGTAAAAAATCATCAAAATCAGAGTTAAAATAACAATTAAATAATGATTTTTCGTTGATAACTGTCGAAATTTTTTGTCCTGTTACTTAATCTCTGAATGTTTGTTTTTTGCATTTTTGGCATATGCGATCTCGAAGCATATACAACCAAGTTTGACGGTTGTATTGTTGAAACTAGTTTTGTAGAATGCGTATCTCATCAAAACGATAGATTTACTAACACTTAGAGTTTATTTATACTTTCATTAAATATAATATAAGATTTTGTGGTATCCACTAGTATAAATATTTTAATTTGAAAATTAAATTCATTCATTGTATTTATATAGCGTTAAGGAGTGTAGCTGTAAAAAAATCATCAAAATCGGAGTTAAAATAACCGTTAAATCGTGATTTTTCGTTTATAACCGTAAAAAAGTTTTGTCTCGTTCCTTGATCTTTTGTTTTTTGCGATTTTTGGCGTATGTGATCTCAAAGTATATACAAGCATGTTTGACGGTTGGATCATTGAAACTAGTTTCGTAGAATGCGTATCCTATCAAAACAATAGATTCACCAACACTCAAGAGTTTATTCATACTTTCATTAAATATAACATAAGATTTTGTGATATCCACTTGTGTAAATTTTTTAAATTGAAGATCGAGTTCATTCATTGTATTCATATAGGGTCAAGGAGTGTAGCTGCAAAAAATCATCAAAATCGAAGTTAAAATAACCGTTAAATCATGAGTTTTTGTTTATAACCGTTAAAAAGTTTTGTCATGTTACTTGATCTTTGAATGTTTATTTTTTGCGATTTTTGGCGTAAGCGATCTCGAAACATATACAAACAAGTTTGACAGTTGGATATTTGAAATTAGTTTCGTAGGATGTGTATCCCATAAAAACGATAGATTCACTAACATTTAGAGTTTATTTATACTTTCATTATATATAACATAAGATTTTGTAGTATCCACTAGTGTAAATATTTTAAATTGAAGATCAAATTCATTCATTGTATTCATATAGGATCAATGAGTGTTGCTATAAAAAATAATCAAAATCGGAGTTAAAATAACCGTTAAATCGTAATTTTTCGTATTTTAACAGTCAGAAAGTTTTGTCCCATTACTTGATCTATAAATGTTTGTTTTTTGCATTTTTTGGTGTATGCGATCTCGAAGTGTATACAAATATGTTTGGCAGTTGGATCGTTGAAACTAGTTTCGTAAAATGCGTATCCCATCAAAATAATAGATTCACTGACACTTAAGAGTTTATTCATACTTTCATTAAGTATAACATAAGATTTTGTGGTATCTACTAGTGTAAATATTTTAAATTAAAGATCGAGTTCATTCACTGTATTCATATAGGGTCAAGGAGTGTAGCTGCAAGAAATCACCAAAATCAAAGTTAAAATAACTGTTAAATCGTGATTTTTCGTTGATAACCGTCAAAATGTTTTGTCCTGCTACTGGATCTCTGAATGTTTGTTTTTTACAATTTTTGGCGTATACGATATCGAAGCATATACAAACAAGAGCTTTCTTCACCAACTTGATGTGAAGGTGCAAGACTTTATGAGTAAAGAAGCGAGAATTAGGTATGTGCGCTACGCTGACGACATACTTTTTGCTATTAAGGAAGGAGCCAACTCATTGACGGTTGGATCGTTGAAATTAGTTTCGTAGAATGCGTATCCCATCAAAACGATAGATTCACTAACACTTAGAGTTTATTTATATTTTCATTAAGTATAACATAAGATTTTGTGTTATTCACTAGTGTAAATATTTTAAATTGAAGATCGAATTCGTTTATTGTATTCATATAGGGTCAAGGAATGTAGCTGTAAAAAATCATTAAAATTGGAGTTAAAATAACCGTTAAATCGTGATTTTTCGTTTATAACCATTGAAAAGTTTGTCCCATTACTTAATCTCTGAATGTTTGTTTTCTGCAATTTTTGGCGTATACGATCTCGAAGCATATACAAAAAAGTTTGACAGTTGGATCGTTGAAATGAGTTTCATAAGATATGTATCCCATCAAACCGTAGATTCACTAACACTTAGAATTTATTTATACTTTTAATAAGTATAACATAAGATTTTGTGATATCTACTAGTGTAAATGTGATATCCCGTCCTGAAGCTATCGAAACATACGTGTGAATTGACCACTTTGCCCCTAGCTAGTTCGTTTACGTTATTGGTTGTTTGTGTGCCTTGTTGGCATGTTTGGGAATCACACACAAGCAGCCACACACTCCACCTTTCCATGTCTCTCTCTCTCTCTCTCGAGTTCTCTTTCCCCTTCCTTTTCACCATACACGTACGGACACACACACACCCACACTCTACACCCACAGATCGAGGAAACCAAGGGCTCAATTGTGATCGTGAGGTCATGGGGAGCAAGATCATACCAAAATCAGGTAAGAACTTCGACATTTTCACGTCGATTTCACAAGGTCCGTTTTAGTCACTGTTCATGCAAGATTAATTTAGTTAGTTTTTGGACTTTTGAAGCTTGTAGATGTGTTGGTGAGGTCTCAAGGAGCTTGGGAGTGCATCGTTGGACGGAATTGGACGTCGGATTAGCCCAGTTCGAGTTTGACCGGTTTTGGTAATTGGTGACAGGTGAGTTCTCGTGAGTTTTAGCCCTTAAAACTTATATGGACGTGTTCTACTAGCTCTAAGGATTAAAATGGTGCAAGAATCATGGAAAATGGTAGCAAAACGAACGAAAAAACGTCATTTGCAGGTTTTCCGGTGACGGCGCCGGAGTCTTACCGGAGAAGGTGACGGAATATTCCGTCAGGATTCTGACGGAATATTCCTGACGCCGTTAACGGAATCTGTCAGTTTTGACGGAATATTCCTAA